ACTACCACTACCACTACCACTACCACTACCACTACCACTACCACTACTACTACTACTACTACTACTACCATGGTTGCCGCCATCACCACATATGAAGACCGCCGCTTGTAATTCATACGATTTGCTGTTGGGATCATGATTTTCGTACGATGCTTTCTTCTACCTCATTTATGAAATTCCCAACAAGCAGGGGCGAATGTTGTACGTCAAAGGGGCATGCGGCATCTCAGTCCGCCGACTGTGCGTTGTCGGCTCCCCTTTTCTGATCTTTTCTGTTGAGTTCTTCAATTCTTATGAAACTACCATATTGTGGAAGGGAAAGCAGACGACGCAAGGGCAAAGAGATCAAAGCGTGGCTAGTTTTGGAGTTGTAAGGTTAGGGAAAACTTTTATTGCTAATCCAACATGTAGGGACCACATCTCACAGTCTCTGATGGAGTAGCATGAAGTAGCAGAATCCATAGATATGACTTGAGATCCGTATTGCCTCAAATAGACGACTCTAGTATCGAATGGAAGCTTGCTAGGTCCTGCGGGATCCTCTTCTTTTCGCAATCTGTTAAGGATTCGTTAATTTGCATGCCCGTTTCTATATCTTGCAGGCGGAAAACGACATGACTGACATCACTGACATCACGCTCTGCTCTCTCAACTGCCCGTTTCTCCGGCTCCCTGTTGTCACGCATGACATTGCCCCTGGGGCCGTGGGGCGGCTCCGACCATCTGCTGTGGACGCCCACGGATCCGAACCACATTGCAGACGCACCGACGCAGCAAGGCGAGCAAGGCGACCAGGACGGGACCGAAGTCACCTTTCTCGAACTGGTGGAGCGCCGGTTTTTGCGCTGCAGCGTGTTGTGCGGTGGTGGTGAGGGGTGCTGAACGGCAGAAGTGTGAAGCCACCAACGGATGGCATTGGGTAGCTTCTTTGGATTTTCTTTCACTTAATTATATGTCTTGTGAGGAGACTCAAACAACTCCAAAGAGTCGAAGGACAACAAAAAGAGACAAGTTGCGAGCACCTATCGCTTAAGGCCGCCCCCGTTTCTTTTTTTTACATATACAATATACATTCAATGGAAACAATTCTGGGTTCGGTCCAGACTCTTCCATCTGGACTCCGAGATGTTCGGATCATCCCGGATCGGGGTCTGTTTGAAGCAGTTTCTTCGGAATTTGACCAATCGGTTTAGACTTTTGCAATGATCTCTCTCTCTCTCTCTCTATTGGATCGCCATAAGAAGGTATACCCATGAGCCCATGAGTGTTTGGTTCATGTCAATGTGTTTCTAGGACATGTTTTTGGCTCCGGAAAGGACTTCTATTTCTTGCTTGCTCGGTCTTCGTGAGGGGTTCTTTGGACATTGTGGCAGACTGTGATCCGCCGGCAGCAGCAAGGCTCAAGCCAAGTTGTCACAGCACACCACACCTCTACAGCATTCTACAGCAACAACTTTACACACATATACAAATTGCATCAAATTGCCACTAAGTTCCATGGTGACGGTGGAGACCTGTCCAAACAAACTGACGGTAGGATTGCCAGCAGAGTTGGTGCGGATTCGTTGACGGATGATTTCGATAGCTCTCAGATCTATCAGATCCATCACACACAGGTGTCAACCTTTGAGAAGCAACACCCAGGCACTTTGGCAAGCAACACCTCACGGTGTCGGTGAATTGGGATGACCTGCGGTGAGTTTGCCCACGGATGGACAAATCAAGTGGGTAAATCAACAATGGTTTTCCATTTTCCTTGAGATGAGCTGGGAGGATCCACTCAGTGGCTGATGAAGATGCAACCCAAGTCTCAAAACACTTATGATTCAAGACATGAGTTATGGAATTATGGTCTAATGCCGTCATATCTGGTGTTGAACCAATCCACAATGCACCGAACTATTTGCTTCGGGCCCCTGCCAGGGGAATCTATGGACCAGTAGCAGTAGATGGTCACCAGAACACCTGGTTTCTCCACTGAAATCGAAACCTCGCAGGCTTTCTGCATTCGATAAACAGCATGTTCTTCTGAACTTCCAGTCGTTTTTGCATGAGAGCAAGAACATGAGCAAGAACATGTTTATTTATTGGCCCACAGAAAGGGCACAAAGACATGTTCACCGTACAATTTGCAATGCATTTTGCATAGTTTATTCATCACGACAGCGCCGTGCTGCCGTGCTCAGCGGCGGTGTGAGCTTTGCGCCGTGCGGCACCTGCGCTCCACCTGCGCCTCTTTGCACTCCTTCCATCAGCTGCGCCTGGGATCGGCAGCCTGAGGGCAACATGTTTTGAAGTTTTGGATATGGATGAGAGTTCGCACTTCGTACCCGAACTGTGGTCAAGAAGCCTCGACAAGCCCCAGGTCGCAATGGGGAGCGGAAGCTCTGCGCAGAAGTACCACCTGACCACGGCCCAGGTTCGTTTCGCCCGTGTGGCACGCATTTCGCGCAGTTGGACGTGGGTGGCTTGGAGAGGAGAGATCGACATTGAGATCTCGGATGGGGTTGAGTCTCGGGAATTCATCCACCAGATTTCGACGGACATTTGAAGCGTGTATAGCCGGGTTTGTCCTAAGTCTGCGGCATTCAAAGAAAGCCCTGGTCGAGGATTCTCTACTGGGTAAAGGAAAGGGATGTTGTTTGCTGGAGATTTGGAGCCCTGGGGACTCCCATGTTTCCTGGGAAGCATGTGCGACATAGAGTCATAGAGGTAATCCTACTGAAGGCTTGCATAGTTTTTAGTAAAGGAAGACTCACCCGCTACTGGTGCAAACAGAAGTGAAGGCTGTTTCCGAAACAGGTCATTTTGTTTGGGGATGTTTTGAGAGTGTTGATTTCATGTGGGAGTGGAGTTGATGTGCAGCTGTGATTGATGTGTTAAGTTACTATGTCAATTTGAGAAGCCGACAGAGTTCTGGGACGTCGACCGAGTTGTTTTGGGGATATATCACGAGGGGTTGAGCTTGGCGTTCGTGTCTTCTCCCATTTTTGTCGGGAACGGCGAGTGTTGTCGGTTGGACAAGTCCACAAGGTGAGAAGAGAAAAACGCACAGACAGACACAAAAAGGAACAAATAAGACAATAAGCACTTGGGTCTTTCACCAAACCCCGGTGTCCTTCAGGCTTCTTCAACCGAATCACTCCGAGAAACCAGTGGTGGAAAACGTGTTGTATTTGATCCTAACAACATCCACGGCTTCTGCCCGGTTCCAAACAGCCAGGAGCGTGAAAGGGCTTTGGCAAGGCATCAGCAGGCCCGTTACGCTTGGGTAAAGCCCTTGGGCACCGGCAGGGTGTTTTTGCTGCCATTGGACGCCTCAGAAGATGGGACCTTTGTTTTTTGCTGACGACAATGAGGAAATCGTGCTGGCTGTTCAATGCTGGTTCCTTTGGCTGGCTACCTTGTTTGGTGTGCTTGAGCTTCGACATCCGTGTCAAAAGGTTTGGATTGCGACTACTTGGGAGCTGACCACGAGTATGCTTGTGTTTAGTTTCCCTGGTTTTCAGGGCGACATGACACACAGCTACAAGAGCCCTCTAGTATGCCATGCTGTGATACGCTGTGTGCTGAGGTGACGTTTTAATTGACAACCAAGCAGCTGGAATGGAAATGCCTCTCAAAGTGGACACTCCCACTGGGGTGTGGCTTTGAATGAACTTCAAGTAAGGCCTTTTTCTTTATCGGATTGTTTGGGGCCGGACAAAGGGGGATATAACACACATGGTGAGGTGCACGCAGCATTCCAAACGACCACGTGACCACGTTGCAAACGGCCAAGCGTTCCTCACACGCGTCTTACAGCCATTTCGGAGCCGAGTATCTGAAGTTGTTGAGAGCTCCATTCGATCAGGGCACCTTCGAAATCCTTCGAACCGGGCACGGTGCCGCTTCGAACTGAGGGCTTAGCACCTGCAACCGTTGAAAGGAGACCCACACCCTTCTGGCTCTCTGCCGAAACGAGAACTTCCGCCAAAGCTCAAGAAGTGACGCCCGAAGTTCCTCAGCTTCCCCACCGGCGCTTGAATGGCTTCCGGCGGGGCTTGTGGCTTATAGTCGTTGCTTCGTTCTGTGCACATCCGACTTGTCATGCACTTCTGAAAGAGACCCATGCAGCTGGCGCCATGTCACTCCTTCGCTATGGGCAGATGCTTTTCAACAGCTTTTCACATCCCAACCACAGCTGGTGCCACAGCACTTCAAGAAGTATTTCGCTAGGC